CTCTCAGGTCGTGAGATGATAGTTCTGGAGCTAGGCAGCCTAGGCACACATAGTCCAGGGTTTAGGATACATGGAAAGCACAGAGGCCTCAACTCTAAACAAACCCCTACAACACAATCCAAAGTATTGGTGCAAAGCACTCCTACGTCCATGTTAAACTGCTTTCCACTGCATGCTTGTTTCGAACAACTTGAGTAAACAAGTCATTGTGTGGTGTTGTGATTATTCGCACTACCAGTAGCAGCCCTCAGAACCCCATGAACCCTAAGCACTAAACCCAAAAACATGCTTGCCGTCAAGTCTGGGTCAGGCTGCGAAGAACATCGTCTGGGCACGTCGCTTCAAGGTTCTTTGGGGTTGCTTTAGGGCTCAAAGTGTTTAGGGTTTGGGGTTCATACAACTCAGGGTTCAGGGTTGAAGGTTGTTGTAAATGGGGGGGGGGGGGGGGGGCTGCCCATGGCACCATTGCATTGCAACCGCAAGCGACAAGCCTGATCCCTGAACCCTGATGACCAAGAGCGGCGCCAAGCCCTGAGGCCCTGAGCTTATCCCATGCTCTCCTTGAAATCACCTCTTGTGGGTTAGTGCCGAGCTCCTGCCATGGTGCCTGGCTCGAAGGCATAATTCGACTGTTCAGCTCCATGCACAGCACTTCAGAATACTTCAGATCAGTCCTTACCTCCACATCTTGTTGTAGGCTGTGAAGAGGTGCCTCACCCAACAGCTACAAGCTATGCCTTGCCGCAAGTTTTGTCCTGGGCTCTATGGCCCAGTTTTCTAGCCCGGACCTACTTCACCTCAGGGTGTTTAAGCATTCGTATGCTCCGAATGCAACTTAGATGGTGCAATGTCAGGGCTACAAAGTTCAAAGGGCCGGAATACGGTAGTTACCAAGCTATAGCGTTGCATTCCCCACGGGGAGCGGTCGGACGGCACGACTGTTCCTGCCCGGACCTCAGCTGAGCCTAAGGCCCTAAGCACTAATTTAATCCCCAAGCCCGAACCCGCCAGAGCTCCCAAGTCAACTACCATCTCAATACTAAGCCATCAACACCATTTGCTTAAGAATCCAAATAGGCATGTTCGCCCTTATACGGGTATTATAGGGCTTCTTACCTTTTATTTGTTGGGGGTTCTGAAGCGAATAGTAGAATAGGGCTTGGGGAACGCCGGGGCCCCCGAAACCATCAATTCCCGCCCTTATTGGGAGCTCCGGCTAATGGATGACGAGGAAGGCCCACGCCCGAGCTGGAACAAATGATAATGAACCATTATATGATTTATATGTATATGAATGTTGTACGGATACAACGACTTTTGCAATTCCAGTAAACAGGTTGGCTACCCTGCGTTGTTGCAATCCTCTTTCCGGCCCGAAACTTTTCGCAACCATCGGCTGTAAACCTTGGGGGTTCGGAACACAGCATGTTGGTATGTACAACTTATGATGCTTTCATGTCAGCTAAACCCAAAGCAAGGAAGCTTTGCGGCTATATGGCATGCGGCATGTATGTGAATGCTTGCCCTCGCCGCCGCCAAGGACATGTCGACCACCATCGAAATCATCGAAGGACTATCTACACCCCAAGCCCCAGCTAAACACCAGACCCTAAACTCTTGTGGCTCGCTTGAAGGCCGAAAGCAGCCCCAACATGCAGAGCTTTCTTAGGATTCCACTTGAGGCCTTATCTTTGCGATTTTGGGGCTTGGGGTTTCTTGAAGCTCCTTTGGGGCCAAAACCCTAAACTTTGGAGGTGAAAGTGCGCAACACCCAAACCCCAGCATAGTTTTGCGCTCTGTTGAAGTTGGAGCGTAAAGCAAACCATTCATGAACAACCTAAGAGCCCCAAACCCCAAAGCGTGAGCCCTGAAATCTTTAGGGGTTTGGGCTTTGGGTTCGGGGTCCAAGGCCCCAGCTTTGTGTCGAGGATGCACCGAGCGCACCAGTCGGCTGGGACTGAAGAAGGCCATGCAGGCGGGGGCAGAGCAGGGGTTGAGGGTTTCGGGTTTAGGGTAGTTAAGCATTCCTGAAATCCCAAGCTCTCATCTCTCCTATCCCCCTCTTGCGAGGACACTGCCGGTTTTCCTCCGCTGCGTGTAGAACGGATCTTGTTCATGAAGATTCTTGCGAGGGTCTGAGGGCCCGACCTAGTTGAAGATTGGCCCGGCGCTGGGCAAAGGGTGCTAGTGTCCAATGTCTCTAAGGGTTGTAGCAGGAATTGGGTCGAGGTGCGCGGAGACGATCTCGTCCTAGAGGCTTTCGGGTTCAGGACTACCTTAGGCGTGAAGTTATGGGGTTGTCGTCCATGAGCACCGATAAAACCCCATAACTACCTCCCAACCCCTGCGCGGCTCAAGCGCCAGCCGAACGCTATCCCTTGAACCACAGCCGAAATATGCCAAGACCATGCGCCCTAAACCCTACACCCTAAACCCTAAAGTTTAGCAAACCCTAAACCCCTCGCCCCTGATCCCCGAGAAAATGCATGCTCAGATCTATGGCGAGATCGACGCTTGCCACATGGGAGACCGGGCTGCAGCGGCCTTAGAGGGGTTTAGGGTTTAGGGTTAGGGTTTGGGGTTTGGGGTTAAGGGGAAAATTGGTTCAGGGTTCAGGGGGTTTAGGGTTCAGGGGGTTTAGGGTTTAGGGGGTTTAGGGTTTAGGGGGTTTAGGGTTTAGGGTTTGGGGCTTAGGGTTTAGGGTTCAGGGCTTGGGGTTTGGGGTTTAGGGGTTTAGGGTTCAGGGTTTAGGGGTTTAGGGTTTGGAACATACTGCCGGAGACTAAAGGATCACCTAGATTCTCCCGGCACAAATTGCCCCCCTGAGCTTCCCAACTGCACAAGTTGTGCGAGATTTCGAGACTCATGCTATAGTGCGTTGCTTAGGTGTTCGCAGCTCTGTTGGCCACCTGCTTTTGAAGCATCCTCCACACCATGAAGCCCCCCACGCTCCATGTTTCCATTGGTGGATTTGGGGTTTGACCGTCGGCTCGGTTCCTGCTTGTGGGGCAGTTGGAGCGGTCGGAGTAATGGCTAATTCATATGCCCTTTTGGTCCTTTTTTTGACAATACTAACCCCGTAACACCCTATTGGCAACCCTAAACCCATTACAGGTCATGGGCGACGCCTTCACCGAGTATCCGTTGGTGCGGTTCAAGTCGCAGCCCCTCAGACGCATTGTTCAAGGGTTTCAGGGTGAGGGTTTAGGGTTTAGGGTACGCGTACCCCCTAATCAAGGTTTTACCCCTCAAGGTTCCCCCTGAATCGATTCCGAATTTGCCCTTATCAGAGTAGGCCCTTAGTTCCCTTTTCTTTGTAGAGCGTGTGTTCTCTTATGACCCCTTTAACGGAAAAAAGGGTACCCTTCTTGTTCCTGGGTGACTCCCGGGTTTAGTACTGATACACCCTCAGCTCCTAGCCCTGGCAGCCGAAGCCCGAAACTATGTGGGGCCTAGACTGGCGCAAGTTGTTGCAATCCTGGCATATCCCTACGACCATCCTGGGCAGTGTAGGGTTTAGGGCTTTAGGCTTACGGTTTAGTTAGTCAAGGTGATCTGACAAACCGATCAGACCTCACCAACATCTTCGTGGGTGACTTCTGCGTAGCCCTATCGTTAATCACAATTTTCCACGCTGGTGAGAAAACTGCGTGCCTTGTAGGGTCTTGTGGCAGTGTACCCTGAAGTTGCACCGACTGCTTGGGGCTGATAAAGGGTCTCGGGGTCCAGGGTTTAGGGTGTAAGGGGGGGTCGAGCGAGCGCTACGCGTGATAGGAACTTTAGCGTGGCTGGGACTCACCCAACGCGGAGCTTCTACTACTACGCAGATGAATGGATAGGGTTACAGGGTCTTGGGCTCATAGGGCCTTAGGGTTCAAGGGTTTAGGGTTACAGGGTCCCAGGGTTTCGGGCTCTGAGGGTTTATGCATACTGTCACTGCGGACATCCAAGCGAGAAGCACGCCAAGATGCATCGGGGGTTGAGGGTTCAGTACCAGTCGTGGGCTTTGAAAACTTACTAAACCCCGAGCAACCCCACATAACCCCAAACTCTCAACACCGAAATCTTAGTCCGGTTGAGCTCCAACCCTGAAGACACGCTGCCAGGCCATTAATCATGACATGAAGAATGACCTCGCATTAGACTAGAAGCCAGTCAAGCGTACTCAGGGCACCTTGTTTGTATTCTCCCTGGCCCCAAGCAAAGAATTTCCAGAGTCATGTCCACATCTCTTCTTTTCCTGAGGTCGAACAGGGTTCAGGGTTTTGGGGCTCAGGGTTTGGGCTGAAGAGGGGAAGCGAAATACCTCTGGTCATCAGAGGGGCAGGGATAGAAGGATATAAGAGATGCCCGTGCGCGAGTTGAGCTGCCTTCCCACTAGCCCCCCCAAAACCCGAAACCCTAATCCCCCTAAAATCCATTAAAATCCCTAAGCCCTAAACCCCACAAACCCCAGGCTCCCTCAACGGCCTTGCCCAGATGCAGAGCCGCGCTTTTGCCTTGAAGCGCGAAAGAAGTGCAGTCGTGCTCGGCCTGTGGAAGCTGAAGGAAACGACTTGGGAGTTTGCCTCAGAGAGCCGGCTGCTTTTGCAGCAACTTGAAACTCAAAGAGCGAGGGCCCTCTTGGAGCAGAAATGGTCTGCACATTGTCCCGCCCAAAATAGCCTTGGGTAGGCCCCGGGAGAGACTTGAATCATCATGTTACAGCGGGCAATCTTGCCTACCGTCTGCCACAGGTTTATACACGTCAAGACTGTAACAAACCCCAGGCTCCCTCAACGGCCTTGCCCAGATGCAGAGCCGCGCTTTTGCCTTGAAGCGCGAAAGAAGTGCAGTCGTGCTCGGCCTGTGGAAGCTGAAGGAAACGACTTGGGAGTTTGCCTCAGAGAGCCGGCTGCTTTTGCAGCAACTTGAAACTCAAAGAGCGAGGGCCCTCTTGGAGCAGAAATGGTCTGCGCATTGTCCCATTCCCATATCCAAAGCCCTGGATGAGCGTCAGCTCAGCTGGAGTGTCGCAGCCGATCCACAAGCAAAGCGGGGAGCTGCTGGGATCTGGAACGAATGCTGGCCAAACGTTTGGGGTCGGCTTCGTCCCAGCGTTTCTGAAGAAGAGCATGTTTTTCATATCGAGCCACGCTCTGCCTGGCTCGCCACCTCCCACGCTTCTGCACCTGCTGCAAGTCCCGCCGCCTATGGAAGACGTCGTTCGACGCACCACTGTGCCGCAGAATGTGCGGCATGATGCAGATGGACTTGTACTTCAGCTTGTGACACGCATTTCGGCACCAAGCTTCAAGCCGAGCCAGTGAGAGGTTTGGGAACAAGGAGTCAACGCATCTCGCCACCCAAAGTGTCATGGCTTCCCGTAGCCAGTCCCTGTCGCCGAGCTCAGCGAGAAGCACTGAGTCATCGGAGTCGCCGGTTTTGGTGACCTCGCCCAACGCCGAAGGCGCCACGACAATGGCCCAGTGTTTGTAGCGAGCTCCTCGAGGCCGTCCAAGGTGTCGAAGGGTGAGCCCGATGCACTCGGAAGGCCGCATGTACGTGTCATACTGGATGAGGATCTCCAAGGCAATGTCGAGAGCGTTGTTCTCTATAGCGTGGGTCGCGAGGTCGAAGACAAACTCCTCCGGCACCGGCAACCTCATGCAACCGGGATTCTGCTTGCGCCACCCGGCCAAGGCCTCTTTGGAGTTCGGCAAGAAGTCCTTCTTTGGCCCCATATTGCGCAGAAGCTGGAGGCCGTAGATGAGGTAGGCGCCGGTGTTAGGGAGGTGTTCCTCATCCTCGGAGAGCTCGGTAATGTAGTTTGTGACGTGTTTGTCTAAGTTCCGCTGGGTCACACGGACATGCTTCCCCCTCGCCCACTCTTCGAAGTCCGCGATGTGGCGCTGGTAGCTGTCGAGGGTCTTCTGTGTGACTTTTTGGGCACGAAGACGGACCTGGGAAGGTAGGCTGTCGCCCGTTGGCGTCGTCCTAGGGCGTCGTTTTCTCGCCGGCTTTGTTGTAGCCAGCGAGCCTTGCGATGTCGAAGGCGGTGAAGTGGCCGAAGATGACGGGGTGTGTCTGGATGTAGCGAGCGGCGCTGAGGAGGTACTTCCTGTCGCCGTCCGTACCCGAGTCATCTTGGCGAACAGGTCCGTGGGCAGGCTGTTGATCGCGTCGTTGAACTCGCAGGCTCGCCGCTTCCAGGCCATGGAGCAGATCAAGAGTGTCCTCCCTACAAGGAGCTCCCCATGCTTCGGACGGGGCGATCGCTCTCAACTCGCGAGCCCAGGCGGCGCACAGCAAGTGTGGGTATGCACCAGCTCCAGCTGTTCGATTGCGACTGGTGGCCTTCCCATCAACATACACCGCCTCGATTCCGCGGAGCGGTACATGCTTGTGCCCTTTGTTACATTTTGCTTGAAGACGACAAAGCTGCTCAAGGTTGGTGAGGATGCTAGTGGGCTTCTTGTATGCGGACCCCCAAGCACACATATGGGTGGTGAAGAAGAACACGCCTCGGTGTTTGAAAATGTCCTTGATGGGTCCAAAATCCCAAAGCCGGCTAGACTGCGGGTTCTCCAAAGTAAAGAAGATACCTAGCCGCAGACAGACGCGGATTGCTCGAGCAGTGAAGAGAGCAAGAACTACTCCTGCGCGTTCTTTTTCATGAGCACGTCTGACATTCTTGATGTTGCGGCGCGCTCGGGACCACACAGTGCATGGAGTCCCAAAATGGATACACCACACCAAACCTTTTTCAAGCAGGGTGATGATGAAGCTCTGGGTCTTGGGGTTTAGGAGGTTAAAGGAATTGCCTTTGGCGACCTCGATGTCGGGCAGGACCCTGAGTCCGGCTTCATCAATGGCCCGGGTGAGACGGGCTGTCCCTGAAAAAATCTCGAGGAAGCTCCGAGGCGGACAGGATACGTCGATCCTTCGTCCTAGAACTGAATCCCCTCCAGTCGAACAACGGGAGCTGCTCACCGGACCAAGTTGGCCTCTACCAAGCTCAAAGGAGTGCAGGTCGAAGTGACCGTTCTTGGGGAGGTCGCCGAGGTCGAAGTGAACTCGCTCACGCTGTCCATGCCGTGGGAAGTCAGGGCCCCAGAGCCGGGACGGCCCATCCGCAATATTGCGGCCCGTGGGTATGTGTCTGAGCCTCCACTGAATGCGGCAGCCCAGTTGGTAAGCCGCCGCTCGCCGACAGAGGCGGTTCAGGGCCTTTGAAGAGCTCCGCCCCTTTTCGAAGACGAGGCAGCTGACAAGGTTGTCGGAGATGCTGAGGGCGTTGGTCCCCATGTTCTGAGTGCTTCGGCAAAGTCTCCGCAGGCCCATCAGGCACACTCTGGCCTCCTTGATATTGATGTGCTCGGCAGTGTGCTTCCAGGCCCGCGCCACCAGGAGCGTCCATCGGTCCGGGATATCCCAGCATTGCTCCAATTCAGGGATGCCCACGGCGGATATCACGGTTCGAGCTTCCTTCTTCGTGTTCCCGAACGGGCGACCGCGTCTTCGGATGAAGTTTGGGTCCTGGTAGGCGAGGTCGATGCGGGAGGCGAGCTCTTGTCCATACGAAGTGCCTCGCCCCACGCCCGCGTTAGGAACCGATCCAAAGTAGCGATCTCCACTGTGGTCCTGGCGGCCGTCGCAAGGTGGCCCGACAGGTTGGGTTGCCGGGTCTCCCTGGGCGAAGCGCCATCTTTCTCGATGTTGTAGAGCACGTCGAATCTCATTAGTACTCGCCGAGGTGGTCATCAGAGAATAGCCTCGGTCTGAGCTGTCTCCTATGTGAACCTCATTGCAGCAAGGGGCACCCATGTCCCACTCGATCAGGAAGATGAGACCCATGGCGACCTTCATCTCTCGCCGGACAGAGGGCCAGAGTGGAGCTCTGTGGTCCAAATGTTCCGACATGAAGCGGTAGACGACCGAGAGGGAGGCCAAAGCCGGCCTGAAGAGCTGGAAGTGGAAGTTAATAAGGCCAAGCCAAACACGGAGGACTCGACCGCTGACTCGCCGTCGTCGAAGTAGCCCACGGGTGGCCTTCCACAGCTTCCACGCCCGCTCTGTTTTTGACCTAGCCGTCGCCCCGTCTCTGAAGTCCAGAAAAAGCCCAAGGCTGTCAAGGCAGAGGTCCGGCTCCACGTTGTCCACTGTGAAGGGAATGCCCAGGTCCGCGAAGCGCTCCGAGATGTGGCCCATGCGACGTCCCGCATCCCCATACTGACCTCCAAAGGTGTGCACATTGTCAACGTAGATGCCGACGACAGGGAGCCCAGGCTTTACAGGTGGGGCGGGGCGCCGGTCTCGAACTTCATCTTCTCCGGGTCGAGCGCTGCTGAGGGAGGCCTGGTAGGAGACAATTTCATTCGCCAGAAAGAGGGCCCACGACCATCCCATGGGAACCCCTCGGAAGGCGGCAAAGACTCGTTCTCCCGGTTGAAGAGGGCGTGTGTATCCCAGCTCGTCATCAAAGATGTCGCCAGGATGTAATCCCAATTCTGCCAATTCGTCTCCACTAAATGAATCGTCAAAAGCGAACCACTTTGACAAAGATGGCACGACAAAGTTGTAGAAGCAGTCCCCGACGTCGCCGGCCTCGGCTGAGACCTGGATCTTGCCGGCCTCATCTCGCCCCAAAAGTCCTCCGCATCCGTTTGCCACGAGCGTGTCCGGGGAAAGGTCAAGCGAGGTCAAAGAAGCCGGAGTTCCAAGCCTTGTGGTCGGAGGAGTGCGCTGGAAGGCGTTGGCCTGTCGAGCGTCAATGATCAGTCTCTGCATGCCATCTTTCTTCTTGACCATAAAGATGCCCGCTCGCGCCCTCCTGCGAAGGCAAAAGTCGAGGAGTTGGCACCGGTGTAACGCACGGTAGAGGTCTATGCGAAGCCCGCGGTCATGGCGAAGTGCAGGGTCCCAGTACGGTTCGACCAGAACCCCAGACTCTGCGAGGGCCTGCTGCTCCTGGCGCGGTCGTTCCACCAGGTCTTCGAAGTAGTCGATGTAGCCCCTAACCTCGGGAGGTGCCAAGTCTCGAGCGTTTTGAGGGCATAGGCGTCGCTGAAGAATCTTCACTTTGCTTAAGTCACAGGATGCGAGGCTCACGCTCTCCTGGTTGTACAGGTTGGCGCGCTGGTTGAGCTCCTGCAGGGCGGATTCCTCGGTGACATTGTCCGGACAGTTCCCGTACAACAAGACCCGTCTAGAGACGTCGGAGAGGATCCACTTCTGAACTGCAGTCAGAGGGAGCCCAGGAAAAATGGCTTTGTCGTTACTGGCAGCGGCGAGTGTGTTCAAAGACCGCAGGCTGCAGTCTACCCGCCGAAGCTGCTCATTGCGTTCTGACCCTTGGCTGCAAAAGTGAGGAGGTAGCCGAGGGAGAGGAAAAGGGTCTCCATGCCGTCGTCGAAGAGAAGGCGACCGGATACTGAATTCGTGCCATGCATCTGCCTTGGAGTCGGGGCGCCAGGACATGTCCCAGGCAGCAGCACCCCGAGATGTCTCTCTTACTTGCCGTCCCGGCCACCCGAGCCGGCGGCCGTCGGATCTTCACCTCCCTTGCCTTTCTTCTTCTTTTTCTTCTTTCTTGTCCCGGCAGCGGAGCTCCCATCTTCAGAAGACGAGTCGCCGCCCTGGCCTTTGCCGCCTCGTCCTGCCCGAAGCTGGCGCCTCTCCTGGTTGAAGAGCCGCTCCTGCTTCCAGATGGAGGCCCTCTCCTTAAGGCGGTTGCTGACCCACTCGGAGAACTTCGAAGTGCTGGCCCTTCCATCTGGAAGTTGGGCGGTGCCGCTGACGATGTCCAAGCCGGAGAAGTCAGGCTGGTGAGGGTTCCGCTCGACCGCGAGCTCAACTTGGATGAGCCAGCGCACCATGTGCTCCCCGCTCGCTAAGACCGAAGTGTCCACCTGGTCAAAGGAGTGCATCAGGCGAAGAGCTTCGCAGAGTGAGCGGTGTATGTGCGCTGCGCTTGTCTTCTTGTTGACGCCCGAGAGCCTGAGCCATTCTGAATGGTAGATGAGGAACTCCCCCGCGCTTGCTGCGACGGCCTCGTGGAGCTCCTTGGCCGCCCGGACCCCGCCGATTGGGAACTCCTTGTCCTCGACATTCTTCATCAGGGCGACGGCCTCCTTCAAGTCCAGTCGCTTCTTCCCAGCAGCATCACGGTGGTCGCCGAGAAGTCTGACATCCGAAAGGTCAAGGCCTCTCTTCTTGCGCCAGGTCTCGAGGTCGCGGGTCATAACCCGCTCCACGAAGAGTTCTTCACCTCCACGTATGACCACGCCCTTCAGGGTGAACGCCAAGCCTGTCGCCTCATTCCCAAGCAACCCGGCATCGACGGTGACACCAAAGTCTGGGTGGCCTGGCTCCGAGATAACCCACACGAAGGCCTCGATGTTCTCCACCGCCCCCTCTCCAAGGATGGCGGCTCGGATCTGGGCCTCCCTCTTGAATCCGGCCAGAGCTGCCGCCCCAATCGGATCGTGCGCGTAGATCTCGGCTGCGATGTCCGCGGGATAAGGGGCGGACCTCTGCAAGATGCGATGTCGGAGGGCATTCAGATCATGTCTTTGTATCTCGTGGTCGGGAGTCAGGGTCAGCCAGATCCCTCCCTCAATACGATGCAAAAGTATCCTATGATGCCAGAAAAACCCTCCACCGTCTAAGGGGTAGTTGACCACGATCTGTACCTCAGGGATATCAAGAGTCAGGTCCGCCATTTCTTGAGGTCCGAAGGCCGCGTTGGTCTGCCCCGACCAGTCGAACTCGGAGGAGACGAGGCGCCGTCACCCAGCCCGAGGCCACCTTGGAGGGCTTCGGGAGTTGGCGCTTTCAAGGGCAAGGGTTCTTCTCCAGAATCCTCAGGTGGTTCCGAAGCCGGCAGAGGTGAGGATGCTCGATGACGATTTATTTGAACACGTCGAAGCCAGAAGCCAGACCAACAAGACCAAGTCGATCAACCCCGACAGCTTCAAAGCCCAGTCTCGAGACCAGACTTTCCACTCACAAGAAGAGGCCTCGGTCGTAAAGCCAGCGATGACTTCGCGGGCCTCTCGGATCTCCTCCCTCAAGCCAGCCACCTCTTTCAAGACGACTTGCGGGTGGGTGCGCTCTGAGACCCAGGACCAGCTCAGGCACAGAAGAGCAGCGGTTCGTAGGTGCATGTGTTGGGATGGGCTACCCTGAGAGACTTGAATCATCATGTTACAGTGGGCAATCTTGCCTACCGTCTGCCACAGGTTTATACACGTCAAGACTGTAAAACCCTAAACCTTAATATCCCAAACCCTAAACCCTCGGAAACGTCAACCTTCAGGAGTTATCTTATTCCCCGAGCGTGATTTCCAGCTGTAAAACCTCCAGGACGGCCGCGGAGAACGCCTTGGCGGCCCTAAAAGCGGGGCAGGCCGGTGAAAGTCTGTGTTTCTGTGAGTGTGTGAGTGTGAGTGTGTCTCTCTCTCTCTCTCTCTCTCTGTTGTTGGCTTGGGGGGGCTAAGGGTTTAGGGGGTTTGAGGTAATTACTCTAAACGCCTAAACTCCTAACCCCTAAACCCGAGTTGGTGTTGGTTGGGCTCAGAGCTGTTGGGGGGGGCAGACAGGCAGGGTCCTGGCTTTGAGCTCCCCGATTCCTGTGAGCCCTTTCAACTTGCCTTCGCCCGACAACCTATGCCCAAGAGCCCAGGCGCTAAGCCCGAAAGCCTGAACCTGAATGAAAGCTGAAGACTCCTATACCTTCAGGGCTGTTGGTTCGAAGCCCTAATCCCCCCCCTCCCCCCCCCAAACTTTTATCGATGCATCCGCACACCATGCAGCCACATCCACAACGCTCAGGCGACCTAAACAGCCCAGCACTCTCAAGCCCCCCCTTCTTTCGGTAGCCAGGTTTATCTCGATGGGATCCCTCTCAAAGGCGCCACACCTGCACAAGGGCTCCAGGGTCTTGAGGTTCCAGGGTTTCTTGTGTCAGGGCGTGGGGCTAGGTTAGCTGCTAAGGTGTTTAGGTTAGATGGGCAGGTTTGGGGTTTTGGGGGTCAGAGCGCAACTAGTGGGATGACCCCACCCTGCATCCAGCCAACTGAGGCATGTTGAAGTTGGCACTGACATGCGCTTGGACAGTGAGCCTGGGTAAGTGCCGAGATCGCCTCTGAGCCACAACCTGTCTCTGAAGCCCCAAAATAGCCCAAACACTACGCCCGAAATCCGAAAGCCTTCACCCTTCCAAACCCTAAACCCCAAACCCCAAACCCCCAAACCCCCCCAACCCCCCAACCCCCAAGCCCCCAAGCCCCCAACCCCTAGACCCTAAACCCCAGACCCCCTAAACCCCAGACTCCCTGACCCCCAAACCCCAAAACCCCCGAGCCCCCAAACCCCCCAACCCCCAACCCACCAAACCACAAACCCTGAACCCTCAACCGTAAACCCTAAACCCTCAACCCCAAACCCCAATCCCTAACCCCCAAACCCCTAAGCCCCAAGCCCCAAAACCCCCAAAACCCTACTGAGTCACATGCCCCCCAGGCGAGTGGCGAGGAGGGACCCGGCGACCCAACCGCCGAGGTGATGAGAAGGTGCGACATCCTAGGGGCTTAGGCTTTTGGGTTTTAGGGGTCTTAGGGCTTTAGGGTCTTAGGGTCTTAGGGTTTAGGGAGTTGGGAGTTTAGGGTTTAGGGAGTAGGGAGTTTAGGGTTTAGGGGTTCAGGCGTCTAGGGTTCAGGGGTTTAGGGGTTCAGGCATTTAGGGTTCAGGGGTTTAGGGGTTTAGGGTTTAGGGTTCAGGGGTTCGGGGTTGTAGGGGCTTCGGGTTTCGGGTTTCAGGTTCAAGGGCGCAGCCTAGCCATATTGGAGGAGACGTTGGGGTTTCTTCGTGGGCCGAGCTCAGCAAGAGGGCTTCAAGGGCGTAGAGGTTTCCTTGTTGCAGGGGTTGACAGGGTCTTGCTCTAGTATAGGGTTTTATTCATGGGTTTGTGCAACTGTTTCTGCGAGACCTTCGCAGTTGTCGTAGCAGAAGGATGCCTTGGGCTGAATCCCCCGGAGAGCCGTGCGAGTTGAAGAGGAGGCGAAAAAACCACTGAGCACGAAACACACTCCCCATAAACTCCCCGAAGCCTTGAAGCCCACGCGCCTGAAACCTTCAGCCTCCCTAAACCCTAAACCCTAAACCCTAAACCCTAAACCCTAGACCCTAGACCCTAGACCCTAGACCCTAGACCCTAGACCCTAAATGGCCCACGGAAGCCCTCAACACGCCCCGACGGAGCCGAAAAACGGCACAACCTCACGCACCCACCCGAAGGAGCCGATGCCGCCACCCACACCAGTGGAGGCCACCTGGCACTCACGCGTGGGTTTGGGGGGTTTGGGGGGGTTTAGGGTTCAGGGCTTAGGGTTGAGGGTTCAGGGCTTAGGGTTTAGGGTTTAGGGTTGAACGTTTAGGGTTGGAGTGCATCAGAAGGTTCATTTGGGAGTGGGGGGGGGGGGCGGGCAATTCGGTCCCCAGGGAAAGAAGCAGACAGATTGAGTACTTGAATGGGAGGTTAAGGGTTTAAAGTGCTGTCTTGGTTTTTCTTGTTCGGTCATGCCACGGTTCTGCTATCCATCGAGTGAGAGACTAAACCCTTGATTCCTAATCCTACACCCTACGCGTGTTCACCTTAAGCTCTGAGGCCCCTGCTGTTGCTTGTTTGGTTTGGTTTGTCATGGGCTTCCTTGCTACCGCCCTCAGCCCGACATAGGCTTTCTAACTAAAGGGCTAGTGTGGTAGCCTTTTGGGCACCCCAACAAGCTCCTGCCTTCCAGGCCCAGAAAGCCCCCCAAAGCCCCAAGCAAACCCTAATCCCTATGACACAAACCCCTGAACCCGACACTGTCGGCAAATCACCCTAAACCACCCTAAACCCTAAACCCTAAACCCTCGGACATCCCTTTGCACAAACCCCAAGTCCACATCCGTTCGGACGCTGCAGGAAACGAGCAGCCGAGACCTGCAGCTTGGTTGCTGCTGTCAGAACGATGTTGCATTCAGAGCAGCATGTACAGTGCTAGAGTGTACATAGAAATAGATGAGTATCCGTAGAAAAATAGATAAATACAAATACAAAAAAGCAAATAAACATATGTGTATGTATACACATACAGTGTATTGTCATTGCATATACCATACCAGATCTTCGTCACTTTATCAAGCTTTACATTCTGTGAAAGGCCTTTTCCAATTTAGGGTCACGGTCTTCCCACTTCAACGAAGTCGGAAGCCAAGGAAGCCCGAAAAGCCAGCCAGACCCCCGAGGACGGCGTTGCATGAGCTGCCCCGAGAGTTTGGGGTGTTGGGATGTTGAGCTGTAGGGGGGCGTTGAGGGCTCAGAGATGACTTCATGGTGTGGTTTAGGATTTGGTTCGTGATGTTGGGGATTGGTGTCCGGTGTAGGGTGCGCCAACGCGCACCCTGCCCCACAGCAAAACCCTGCAGGTGAGCCTGTGGGTCGGTAGCTTTGTACATGGCCTTGGCCCTGTCTGACTTCCTGCAGCTTGTGCACTCAGAGGTCACAGCGAACTTTTCTGGGGGTCGTGTGCGCTGCATATACGGCCCCACGCCGTCCCCGGGCCTCCGCACTTGCTCTGGTGCTTGATAAGTTTTGATTCAGAGATACAGCTGCTCCGGGCGCCCGGCGAGCGCGTAGAAGTGAGGGACTTGGGGGATACCTGTATGAGTCAGGCAGAGGCATCCGCCTCGGTGTTTGCAGACATCCCCTGATGGCGGAGGGTTGAATTCTTTCTGACATCATGGCATGCTTGTCAAAAACCTGTGAACAAAGCTTGTGCGCAATATCGTGGTCGGAATAAGTACCAATAGTGTTGTCTTATTGTCTCTTTATAGTTCTACTATAAACACCCCCAAACCCTGCTCTAATTATTAAGGCCTCTATATGAAAGCCCGAGCTTGTGCAGATGCTGCACAGGAGCCCCAGCCACAAGCGCCGAAAGCGCGCAAGCCGTAGCCGGAGCCGCAGCAGGCGGGAGCTGCGAAATGGGCGATGGCCCTTCCATCGTTCCTTTCATGGCTTCGTGCAATCACTCAGGCCCCCTGGGAACCCAAAGACCTGAGCCCCCCTAAACCCTAAACCCTAAACCCTAAGCCCTAAACCCTAAGCCCTAAACCCTAAACCCTAAGCCCTTTCGACCCTTAAGCCTACAAACCCCAAACAACCCCCGAGCATGGTCAGGCGCCGCAGGAAGGAGAGCCCCGCCAAGAAGGAGAAGGCTGCAGGAGCTGTGAGGACCTTGGTCCTTAAGGGGTTTAGGGTTTAGGGTTTAGGGTTTAGGGTTTAGGGTTTAGGGTTTAGGGTTTAGGGTTAGGGTTTAGGGTTTAGGGTTTAGGGTTAGAAAGGGCTAGTTGCTTGAATGAGAATTGCGGTTTCTGTGAATTTTGAGATCCCAAAACCCTCAACCAGTAAGTGCCTAAGCGCCCTTAACCCAACAGCCTGAAGACCCCGAGATTCATGTTGGGTCGTGTCGTGACCGCTCCCTTGGCGGGTGAAGGTCGTAACCCTAAACCCTACACCCTACACCCTACACCCTAAAGCCTAAACCCTTAACCCTGAACCCTAAACCCCCTCTGAAGCCTAATGCCCGAAGCCTCAGCAACTCGGAACCACCGAGCACTTGAGCACTTGAGCACTTGAGCACTTGAGCACTTGAGCACTTGAGCACTTGAGCACTTG